GCTGGTGCTTGGTGAAAGCGATGGCAAACCTCGGTTGCTGGCTCGGTGGAGCTCGTTTCATGGCTGAGTTGGGGGTCTGAACAAGTTAGGCCAAATGAATCACCTATAAATAGGAGTGTGCTCCTCAACCAGGGCATCTTCAGCTTCAGCATATCAGCATTCTTCAGCAGTCACCCAAGAGTTAGGTCAGGTTACCTGGCTTCGAAATTGAACAACACCATGGTCGTCATGAATGGTCCGTGAGAAGAATCCCCGAAACCCTAAACCGCTACAAACCACATGGGGACCACAACCGGAATCGCTGGGCAAGTGGAAACCGGACATGAACCAATTGGACATGGGTTTGGCTGTGGGAGGGACCAAAAAGGTTTTTTTCATGTCCAGTTTGCATGGGCTTCATTTTCAGCATCCAAGCCGCATGCGCACCACATAGCCGTCGGTGGTCTTCACATCCACATGCGCCTCGATCAGCGTCTGCCACCTCGATCGTCGGGAGGTCCCGGGAAGCGGTCGGGAAGAAACAGCAACTGGTTGGTGGTTTCAACTCACTTGAAAAAGATGAGTATACCGCCGGGCCTGTCAGGTTTTGGGGTGGTTCAATTATCTGGGACAGCATAAAAAGGTTCTTTAAGGGGCGCCCTTGTTGGACACGCGTAATAATACGGGGCCCTGATCTTCATCGAAGGACAGTTCCACAGATCCCGGGATCAGATGATTCCCAGCAAAACAATCCAACAAGAGTAAGAGTCAGGGGGAAGTATCCTCAACCTAAACGGCAATCTTGCCAGGGCACTTCTTGATCAAGGAGCAAATCCTCGGCGCGTGCGAGCCGTTCGCATGACTCACAGGTCAGACGTTCCCCGGCCGAAACGTCCAAGACGCGGGTGTTCAGGTCGAGTCGTTGGGTGTCCGGAGAAGGGGACGGAACTGGTTCGTCGGAACTGGTGCCACTCAACCCTTCCTTCCAACGTCACAGCTAGAAAGAACAGGGACGTCTGAGACGTTGCCCATGATAAGATGAGTCATGATAAGACTGTGCCCAGCAAGGATCTGCATCTCCCCCGAAAAAGAGGCGGCATCAGATCTCAAACAAAATATGTCACCCACACTATCTCTCTCTCCCTCTCCCTCCCTCTCACCAACAATCATAGACATGAAATGACATGAAAAATATTGAAAGATCCTATTCCTGGAACGCAAGGTTCCTTTTGTACAAAAGATCGAGTTGACTTGTTCCTATCAGCAACTGGCATACCCTCTTGTACATGATCAAAGGACATCCTCCGCCTCTGTCTGGGATGGATATTCATCCCAGTTCTCCTTACCCTGTTTCAGACGTTTTGATCCAAGGTGCTTGTCACGGGTCAAGGACATGCCGTGGAAGTCCGTCAAGCAGCTACGGCCCTGCACCTGCACATGCACAGGTCATGAAGGCCTCCTTCAGCTGCTTCATGTCGTTCAGTCGTCAGACGGTCGCACCACGGTTTTGGTGTGGGCACTGAATACCCTAGGCTTCCTGGCCAACCATGAATAGGCTGAATCCCGAATCAATGAACGATGTTACACTAAACCCAGGTCGTTCCGCTTGTTTAAATGGTCGAACGGAAGTCTAGGGAATACACTCATCCACTCCCTGGGCGCGAAAAACACCGATCTCTCTCTCTCTCTCTGTCTCTCTCATGCGTGGCAGCTTCGGTCGCCCAGCTGACGCGAGCTGACGCGCCGTTGTTTCGCCTCCTCGATGCAAAGGCGGATCTTCTTGGAGGCCTGGTCCTGGCGGAAGGTGGCCAAAGTAGAAGAAACTGGCAGGAGAAACATGAAAACTGCCTTCTACAGCGCCCTACAGATTGTTCGATCGAAATCTGAGCCCTTAAATGGAACAAAGTTTGGAGAGTCCGGACCCCTTTGGTGTCGGTTCCATGGATTGTTGGGCGGGTGACTTGTAAATTGAAGCAAATCTGAGCGGGCTGAGCTTCCACCTGAGCAGCTGAGCTGTGCTGAGCTGCCTTGGGTTCCCCAAGAGTCTGGTCAGCTACCGGGATGAACTTTTGAAGCACAATGTATGCTGGGTGGCACGTGAAAAGATTATAACTTATGTATATAATGTATTATATATAATCCCCCTTACTACTCCCAGTGGTCGGCCGTTTTGCATTTTATAGTAGAATTGTTTATCATATATATATATATAGCCAGTCGGATCAATCATTCCAGTCTAAAACATTTAACAACCAGTAAGCTCTATGTCGGTGTCCCCCTGTCCTCGTCGTTGTTGAGGTCTGCCAAATTCACCTGCCACGCCAAGCCAATCGGCAACTATATAACCCGACATAACTTCCCAACAATAGCACTGGTTTAGTCCTCAGTATCAGTAGCGAATCAGAGGGAATCTGTCCATTTTAGGGATGGGTCTGTGCATAGCGGGAAGCAACATGCATATAAGATCATATAAGTGCATGACATGAAGAGTATTTGGATGGAAACTTGGGCTAAGAAGAAGCATCATCAAATCCACCTTGAAGATCCTTGAAGCGCCCTTTCATGAACCGATTCACCTCCGCCATCAAATGTCATGTCATAACACCTCCACATCATCTACTAAGTCATAAACCTGAGCATCCTATCCCTCCACCATTTCATCAACTCAGCTCAGCACATCCCTCCACACCGGAACACGCAACCCCACCCCTTGTCCACCCAACCACCCTCGTTCCGGGCCACCCTCGTTCCCTTCCGGTCCCCGGTGTCGCCTCCAAGACGCGACCCTTCAGCTCCTCCGTGGCAATCTTGGTGCCTTGGGTCCTCGCGTCCGGGACGTCGCCGGGGACGTGGATGGGAGGCAGGCCATGAGGCCGGAGGCGTTGGCGGCGGAGAGGCTGGGGCGGAGGGGGAGCAAAAGAAAAAGGGTGAATCGAAAGGAGAAAAGCCATTCCAGAGCCATGAAAATATATGAAAAGCATCAAAAACGAACATACCAGGACCATCCGATCATCTGGTTGTCCAATGGACAACCCTACACTACTATGGGAGATCCATTGGACACCCAGACGTACAAGCGGACACTCCAAGGCACATCATGCTCACGAAAGGCACAGCATGGCCTTTCGTTATGTTCAGAAAGGCACATCAGCTATCACCAAAGGCACATCACCAACAGCAGCAAAACCAAAAGCAAGTTTGGGATAACAAAAGGCACATCAAAATACATCAAATGGATTGTCCTGCTGTCCTGCTCTGTTGCCGTTTCGACTTTCGCTTCATCGCGGCATTCATCGCGCTTTATCGATGTCTTTCGCTCGCGCAGCCCCGCCTCGAGACCAAGGTCTTACCACACTGCCGCACGGTGAACATACCTCACATGGGTGGTGAAGCACCAAAGAACTTTCAGAGGTGGAAAGAGGTGGGAGAAGCAGTTGTACAAAGGGTGTTCGGTCAAAAGAAGCCGCCAAGGGCCGGCATCAGCGGAAGAATGTGGAACCCAAGCACAATATGGTTCAAGATGGTTCAAGAGATCTGCACCTTCTGTCATGTCTTCATCAGAAAAAGAATGGGTGGGTTCCTGAGCTGCTGAATCCCGCGAGCCCAAGTAGGGCAAGTCCCCACTGTCCCAGACCACCCTATCTCTCCTTCCATGACTTCCGCTCAAGGAGGTATTGGGACATTCTGCTGAGGCACTCGGAGCCTTGATGTCATACCATTCCTTGCGGAGGAAGGGATCTCCAGCCTTCTTCTTACCTCGCCACGGAGGTAAAAGCTGCGGATATATCGAAGGTGGAGGTTTGGGCAAACACAAGGATTTGGACATTTGGATGTGGGCCTGGGCTAGTGCTTGCAGTTTCTGTCAGCGAATCAAACAAGAATCCTTTCTCAAGGCTTCACTTTCTTGGGATGGAGGCCCTAACGGACCATCAATCATCTCGATCATCTCCCATTTCGCCCAACCAATGCCGCGGATATACCGTATACGACCACCTTGAACCGGCAGGTCCAAAGCTGTTTCGGAGGAGAAACACATCTTGGAAAAGTTGTGGAACCTCTTGAAGAAGGTTTTAGCCTGCAAAACATGGTTTAAAACCTCTTTAACAGTCAGTCTTTAACCTGCATTAGACATGACATAGTTCTTCGCAAAACATCAGTTTTGACCTGCCAACGGTCTTCGAACTCCCTCGCCACACACCCACATCACGTGCGGTCGAACCACTGGCTGGCCCCAGGTTGGGGTGGCACATCTAGTCACTCTCCCAGGTGAAGTGAAGCCGTCAAAACACCTACCCACCCCAACAATGTAGATTGATTATTGATTAATAAACCCCCTCATTATATGAAGGGTTTTTACATGGTTTTTTCATCCCCATTTGGACTCTAAAAGCCATGTAAAAACCCTTCATATAATGAGGGGGGTTATTACAATGTACATTTATTCATCAGTCTGCAGACTGGGCACCTCCAGAGTCTACGTCCGCTTCACCATATTTGACGGGCTTCGCTCGTTGTTGACTTTTGTGGCTCCCACTTCATTCCACCTCCCCCCAGACAATGGCTTGTTCCGTCCACCCGCCCACGCCCAGGTGGTCGTCGAATTAGAATATAGTATAGTTGCATCCAGGAAAAAAGAACCAAAAATACCTGCCGAACGTGCACACAAATCCAACGAACCGAGAGGCCACCCTTCTTGCCACCCTTCGTCAATCGCTTGTTCTTTCCCACTGCCATGGCAACGATCTTTCTTTCCACTCACCGGACCACAATGGCTGCGGACAGCGTATGATTGTGTATGTTCTCTTTTCTGCCATGCTGCGCCTGAGGCTACACCTACCATCCAACAGGCTACTTAGTCCAAGGCTATCGGTCCCAGGAGGTGGATGCTTGTGGTATCAGTCTTCAGATATGCTATGAGTGACGGACAAAAAAGGACCCAAAAGATATCAAGGACCAAATGGACCTTCATCGATCTCTGAAGAGATCACCGCGAGACTCATCACGTCCTGGGTGCCTCCGGCTGTAATCCTCCGGTCGTCAGGTTCAAGCTCGTCCTGAGAGGAAAAAAACGGAGGGACCCGATTGTCGGACCGGATTGGGGTGGAGGATGTGGTGGGTTTTCTACGGCAGCCATTTTTCGAACCAGGGCGTTTTCTAGTGAATGAGGGAATGACTTGAGACTTTAAAAAAGGGTATAGTTTTTTATTAATTGCACCTCCAGAATCTTTCCTGAAGCAACATGAGGCAACCACATAGCTCGGCCTTGTCTCGGCCGCTCCATCCCCTCCCTTCCTCCCTTCGGCCTGACGGCGAGTCCACGGCGAAACCTCCCAGCCCCGTGGCCCCCGACCCATCGTAGGTCATGCCCGAATCTCGATCAAAGGCCACATCTGGGGCCTCGTGGCGAGAGCGAGGAAGAGCAGCGTCGCAGCGAAGCTCACCGAGACATAGGGATCAGGGGCCCCTGTGAAGCGCTGCTTCAAGTGGACCCAGATGAAGCAACCTCGCTTAAGGTTGCCATGTGCGGGTTCATCCAAAGGTTGTGCCATGTGCCAAAAGACGTCGATGGGTTTGGGTTTGTTGAACTTCCATGAACTCCCGTTCGAGAAAACCCCACGTCTGACTGCCTGCTATTCCTTCCCAAGCGTTGCTTCAAACCCCCCCCAAGTCGACGGTCAAAACAGGTAATTAGTGCAAAAAAGAACTCGCAAATGGTCGGTTGACGGCTTCTGATGTTACCACAAAACGCCCGGTTGGCCCGTCAACTTCCAGAGCCCATGTTGGATTGATTGGATGAACGGACGAACGGTAAATTAGTGTGTTCAGTTCAAGAGTTTACTAGAAGTACATTACGGGCCCAATATGGCCTAATAGCAAACGGTTATCTATGTTAGCTCAAATTACGTCAACAATCTTCAACATTATTATAAGTTCAATAGCCAACGGTTGTGTCGATTTCAGGTGTTCATAAATGATTATATAACTCAGACGCTCATGGACCCTCCTAAGTAGGGGCCGGACCCTCCTAAATAGGGGTCCGGACCCTCAAATCTTTTGGGTTTTGAGGGACCAAGAGCTGTTTTTGGAGCGTCTGGGAATTACGAATAATAAACATTAACCAGGACCCCCTAAGGGGTGGTTAGTGGACCCCCCTTAACCCCTAAGGAGCTATAGCTAGACACCCTAGACACCTTGTGACCCCTGGAATCAACTCTGCTTTCTTTCGCGACGCGAACCCTGCGCCCGACCCAGCGACGCCGCAACCCACCCACCGCGGCGGCGTCTGGGCCGTTCCCGACGGCGAAGAAGCGGCGCTCCACGCTCAGCAGGTTCTCGGCCGGGCGGCGGTGAAGGTCCGGCGGTGTGATCTCTACGTGCTATGGAAGCGAAACTAAAGGTGAATCATGGATGACGTCGTTCTTGTCTTAGTTCCTTCTTTTTCCCCACCTGCCAGGTGAGGGTTGTTAGATTTTATCACAGTTGTTCTTCCCGCCTCCGCCGCCTCCTCGTCCTCCTCCTTCCTCCTTCCTCCTTGCTTCCTTCCTCGCCAATCTTCATCGCCAATCTGCTTCGCCGATCTTGTCTGGCCAGCTCCGGATCGCAGTGTGCACCCCTGGACCTCAACCGCAAGGATCCCCTCGCAGTGTGCACCCCTGGACCTCAACCGCAAGGATCCGATCGCAGTGTCCATCCCTGGACCTCAACCGCAAGGATCCGATCGCAGTGTGCACGCCTCGACCTCAACCGCAAGGATCCGATCGCAGTGTGCACCGCTGGACCTCA